TACAGTTAATGAGTCACTGTCCAGAATAATTAATGGCGTCCGCCTGTGGAACTCTTCTGAAGAAAATTTAACAAGGTGTTTCACAGAACAGATCTTGGATTGCAAAAACGAATGAATCTGCTCGGAGTTCTAGTCATTCAAAGGCAACAATAAATTTGTCTCACAGCAAAAAGTGCGAAAAATGCCGTTTCTTTTTAGGGATTTTTTCTTCCAATCACATTTTCACTGTTTCGTTAACCCGAGATCGGGGGCATAACCTAACATTACTTGACGAAATCTTATTTTCCAGTCATATTTTAACCTCGACACGTTTTTCAAGAGCCTTTAGTGCCAACTACATTCCATACTAAATTCCAAAACAAAGTATATTGTTTGTCTGTTCAGAATACTAACTTATTTTCCCATGCTGGTAAGAGGTTACTCTGTTAAGTATCCGATACAATGCACTTCAGGTCCAAGAAAACGGCTATCAGGGCCTCAGCTTGCATACATAAAATAAGCTCGGTTACGTCAATTACGGGAATAGACCACAATCAACTTCATTTTGTGTTAAGGCGCTGAGCGAGTAAAATACAGCACTACTCGTGTTCGTGTTCCACAAATTAATTGCAACTTGATAACGCCCGGTCGCATTTTTGCTTTAACTTCGACAAATGGAGTAAAAAAGAAAGTAAACGGACCAGGCCTACATTGAGGAAGATGGCTTAAAAGGCTACAAAATGCGTTTTCACATTTGATACTTACAATCATTACACCTCTCTCGTTGAAACTGTTGAAAGTGACACGTTTTGGATGCTCTCGCGGGAGATGTTTCGTGACGCAAGGTCAGAGCAGCAAGTGACGAAATGTTGCAAGCTTCCTCGGCGAAATGCGCATGTCCGGTTACCACGTGCAGGCAAAGGAATTTCAAAATTTGCATAAATGCCCGCCCTACAAAACACATTCTACTCGTATATCGCATGATGCCTTTACAAATCACAACTGGACCAAATGCGGCGATTGGACGCAACAAATAATTGGAACAGCGTCAAAGAAAATCGTGCGTAACAAATGCTATTCATTCTTAAGTTCGTCTAGGGGAACGTTGAGAGAACGTATCAAAGACTAGCGTGAAGTATGCGCGTTCTTTTATTGCCGAAGTGGGGCTTTAAATCAAACAAGCCTTTTGTTAGTTCTTTTAATTCAATTTGAATTCTCCACACTAAAGACACTGCTGCTATTACTCTTGATTCGGGCAAGCTTTTGTTAGTTACATGAGAGACCCCTTGCACCAATACACTGTTTTCAATGGATAAGAAGGGCAC